TTTGGTCCCAGGCTCTGTAAATATTAAGAGATATGTAAAGCACGTAGGGCTTAGCACATAGTAAAAGCCTAATAAGTTGTATCTATTAACATGAACTCATAATCAAACCAATACTGGTTGCAATATGTCACGTAATTATCTTCATAGCCAAAGTCCTGTTCCCTGCTCACCTCTTCCTTTTATTATCTTCTTCCCCTAACACAGCAGTGGGCTAGCTGGGTGGTGGTATCAGACTTTTGCTTTTGCAAATCCCAAATATTAACACCTTCCTCTAAACAGACTAGCTGACTAATCTTTTTATACTGCAGGGGTTCCATGGGTCCCTATCTAACAAAGACTTTATTCCTCCCACTCCTAGAATATACTTCACCCACCTGGAAACAAAAATACCCTGACAAATAACTCTGATCCTGTTGCCATACATCTATTTTCCAGATAAGTTCACCTAAGGAGAGATTGTACATCTCCAGACTAGAAAGCCTCTTGAGTGTTTGACTGCTGCTTCCATGAACAATGATTGTGGCTTCACGTAAATGAAACCCTCCACAACCCCAACAGCCCGGGCGTCCCCCTGAATGAATCGTTGTTGAGCTTACACTGCCCTCTGGAGTTTAAATGGTGAAGTCTATCCTGTATCCCTTAGGTGCCAGGAAAATGGGCTAATTCCCCACTCCACACCCCCAATTGTAGTAGCTACACATTATTTGGAGTCTGCTGGTGGTACAAAAAGTTAATGAACTTGTGTGCTAATGAAAAGTTGGAAGATTGAGTTCACTTAGAGGTGTCTTGGGAGATAGTTCCGGGGATCCACTTCTGAAAAAATCAGCCATTCGACACCCCGTGGAGCTTAATCCAACCACAACCAGCATGGGTTCCTCTGAGTCAGAGCTGAGTCAACAACGGATGCTACAGTGCTTGTGGTTGTTAGGTCAGCTCTGACCACAAAGACCTTGTGTAAGCAGAACAAATCACTGGCCAGTCCTGTGCCATTCCCACAGCTATTAGGCTTGAGCTCACTTTTGCAGCCACTTTGTCAATCCATCGCACTGAGGGTCTTCCTCTTCTCGAGGCTGAGTAATTGATGGCCTGGTCTACAGTTGACCTTCGGGCATTGTTTTGATGGATGGTATTGAACTTCTCCACAGTGTCTTCTCACAGATGTCATCAATATGATTTCTTCCATTTCCATCTAGTGAAGTTCATATTTCTATACTAGATATATATGTATGATAGCTGTTTATGTTGTTGCAAAAGTTATTTGCAATGAAGAAGTTATGGCTCTCGAGACCTTCTATCATAAGACCTACAGCTTTGTTTCTAACCCCAAGGCCAGCTTTCCAACTAATGATCCTTCCTCTTGGTTTACATCTTTTTATTCCAACCACAGGTAATGCTCAATGTGTCTTAATTGCACATTTGAATAATTACAGAATGAAGAGGTTGATTGTTGCTGTTGTTGTTAGGTTCCATGGAGTCAGCTCTGACCCACAGTGGTATATGCACAGCAGAAGCAAACACTGCACGGTCCTGCACCATCTCACCGTTGTTCCTCTGCCTGCGCCCACTGATGCAGCCCCTGTGTCAGTCCAGATTGTCAAGGGCCTTCCTCTGTTTTGGCCACCATTCCACTTCACACACATGATGCCTTTTCCCAGGGACCGGTCTCTCCTGCAAGCATGTCTAACGTATGTAACATGAAGGCTCGCCATCCTTGTGTCTAAGGGCACTCTGGCCTTACTTCTTCAAATGCAGATCGGTTTGTCCTTTTAGCAGTTCATGGTATTTTCAATATTCTTCTCCAGCACGATTCAAATGCATAGATTCTTCTATGGTTTTCCTTATTCAAGGTTCCACTTTCACATGCATATGATGCCACGAATAATATCATGGCTTGAGTCATGCTCACTTTAGTCCTCAAAGTAACATCCTTACTCTTCAATACTCTAAAGAGGTCTTGTGCAGCAGATTTACCTGATGCAATACGTCTTTTGATCTCCTGACTGCTCCTTCCATGACCATTGATTGTGGATCCAAGCAAGACAAAATCCTTGACAACTTCAGCATTTCCTCCATTGATCATGATGTTACCTATTGGTCCGGTGTGAGGATTTTGGTCTTCCTTACATTGAGTGGTAATCCATACTGAAGGCTACAATCTTCGACTTTTATCAGCAGGTGCTTTAGTTTCAGCAAGCAACATTGAGTCATCTGGCTCCCCAATCAATGCTCATGGAAGCAGCAGTCAAGAGATCAAGCGATGTTTGGCATTGGATGTGTATCTGTTGCACAAGAACTCTTTAAAGTATTAAAAACGACTCCTTCCTTTACTACCATTGGATCTAGAAGGTAGGCTACCTCTTGAAATGGTTCAATGTCAAATAGTTCTTTTTGGTTCAGTTGTTGTGTTTTCTTTCCATCATCTTTGGAATGTTCCTGTATCACTCAATATTTTGCCCACAGTCTTTTAATGTTGGGACCCGAGGCCTGGATTTTTTCTGTAATTCTTTCCATTTAAGATATGCTTAATGTGTTCCTTCTCTTTGCTTTTTTAACTCTAGGTCTTTGCACATTTCATTATAATATTTTACTTTGTCTCCTCTGTCTTTTGAAAATTTCTGTTCAGCTCCTGATTTCATTTCCATTAACTCCAAAGTTTATCTTTGGAGCAAGCTCAAGAGATATTACTAGGCCTGCATTTTTGGGGACCTTATATAATTGCCTGTCCTGAGTAATATTGTGGTGTTAATTCATTGATTTACAGTGAAGACTATATGCGTAGTGTGACAGTAAACAAGGTGCTGTGATTATTACATGGGTATTGCTGAGACTGATAGTCTCATGGTACCATCGATGACTGAATATCCATGGATGAAGTCATATTCCTTCTGAGCCCCGGTTTGCTTTTAACCATGTCAAAAGTTAGTATTCGCCATGTCACTGTACATATCTCCTTTTCTCTATCTGCTTGGAAGCTCAAAATGAAACGTGACTTGGCCACAGCAGTAGAATGTTCTGATCTTTCTGGTTTTGTTATTTTTATTTTATTATGTTTATTGTTTGCATCTTTAAGTTGCTTCAAATCTTGTTTTGAAATGAGGAAATGTTGCCTCTATATAGAAATAATCTCCTAGGTATTTTTGCTCCCATTCATAAAGAGAGTTGACCATGTCTTGAACTCATTTTGCTAATACACTGAACTTGAAACACGTTTCACATGAATGCTTTCTCCTGGAGACACTGGTGTCTGTGATTAGGCTTCTGTTAGGACTGTCAGGCTGGTAATAAAGGGCCTTCGTGTTGTAGTGGTTATGTGTTGGTCTGAGAGCTGAAAGGTCAAAAGTTCAAAACCAGCAGCCTCTCTGAGGGAGAAAGACAGGCTTTTCTACTCCTGTAAATAGTTACTGTCTCTGAAACTCAAGGGGTGGTTCGAACGTGCCCTGTAGGGTCACTATGCGTTGGCATGGACTCGATGGCAGTGAGAGTGGTTTCGTCTTTATGTCAGACTGGCCACTCTCTATGTGCGTCCCTCTGCCCCTTCCTTCTTCGCCCTTCGTCTGTCATGTCTCAGGCTTCTAGGACCCTTATTCAGCCCTCGGGGAGTCTTCAAAGGCCCCTCTCCTGCACAACTATAAGGAAACCATCTCCTGATTAGAAATCTCCAATGTTCTTCTTTGCCACCAAGCAAACGATCTAGTCACACTCATCTTTGCACCCGTAGGACCCAGCACAAATCGGGGATATGGTGGGGAGCTGACGAACACCTGTTGAGCAAGCTAAATTACATGAAATATTAGTAGGACACTTGGAACAAAGCACATAATCTACATTTTCTCTGTCACGTCTCCTTCACACCTTGTCCAACACACCTCTCCCAATTCATCGGTTACTACTGTGACTTTCAGTATTACAATTTCATTTCCACACCTAGGGAACCTTTTTAGGCTATGAGTGACTTCTACAATACATCCTCTCTCTTTCATCAATCGCCTTGACCGAGTCTAGAGAAAAGTAAGACATGCACATGTGGGCACTGGTGAAAAGTCTTCTATATTTAGCCATAGTTTTAATATTTAATATCTTGACATGAGTAACTCTGACATCTTTCACCAAAAGAAATCAAACGAATATAACCAGTTTTAACAGCTATGTTAGGTAAAAAGAGCCCTGGTGACACAGCGCTTACACATCAGGTTGTTAACTGCAAGATCAGCTGTTCAAAACCACCAACCACTCTGTGGGAGAAAGACAGAGCTTTCTATGCCCATGAAGAGTTGGTTTCAGAAACCCACAGGGGCAGTTCTACCCGCACCTACAGGGTTACTATGAGTCATCATCGACTTGATGGCCGTGAGGCTTTTAAGAAATTATATTAGGTGAGGGAACCCTGTGGCACTGTGGGATCAAGCTTGTTGTTCATACCCAGGTGGCGTTCTGCTCTGATGGCAGGAGATGAGGCTGTCTGCTCCTGTAGAGGTTTATTCTCTGGGAAACTCTATACAGGGTCACTACGAGTTAGGGTTGACTTGATAGAAACAGGGCAGGGGGTGTAATGTTAGGCGAGACGGTGCAGTGGTTGAAGTGCTCGGCTGTTAACAGCAAGTTTGGCAGTTCAAACTTGCCAGCCGTTCTTTAGGAGAAAGATGTTGCAGGCTGCTTCCTTACAGATTACAGCTTGTCGCGACTTAGACTCTCCTCCACAGCAGTGGGCTTGCTTTTGATTTGTGTTGTATTCACTTCAGTGTGATGCTCTTTTTAATTTGAAAAACTCTTTAAGGTGGATTAATACAACGTTCATTTATAGATGTAAGTATCCTTCTTTCTAGTAATCAAAATCATTACCAAAAGACTGAGAGACGATTGAAATTTTGGACTTGAACTCAAATCATTTTTACACATATATCACCATTTGTTTAGCATTTTATTTGATTATATCAGCCCTACATGGTCTAGAATGCTTTTCAGAAAATTGAATAATCAAAGATAGGATGGCTGGTTTATTGACCTCATAGAAGCTCAGTTCAAGCCTATCTGCAATTCTCCTATCCACTTCCACACAATTTTTAGAATATGAATGCCTGGGATTGTGCTATTGATACTGATGTCAGGACAAGGGACAGAAGGACGAGGTGTCTCTGGAGGAGTCTGTGGAGGAATGAACAAAGATACTTGTGCAATGTTGGATATTTCCGACTTCAGATTGACTTCATCAACAGCCTGGACTGCTATGAAGAGATCCGTGCCATTCTCGAAGGTGATGTTTTCTGGATGAAACGCGAACACTTCTTTGGCGGAGGCTTCTTTTGGGATCAGGTCAGTAGTATTCACTTGAAGAGAGTTGTCAAACTTGTCTCTCAGATCAAGAATACTGGTACTTATTCGAATAATATACCTGCGAGCTAAAAACAAAATACAAACTGTAATTCTCAAATCTTAAGATATAATTCTGCTAGAAGGTATACCCCTCCCCCACAAGATTCTAATGAATACAAGTAATCAGTGGTCCATATTCGTAAGTGCTAACATCTTTTCTGAAGTCTTTATTTGTACTTCCTGACAGAGCGATAGAACAGGCATGATTTAAAGCCTTGGGTAAACTTTTCTGGGCAGAAGTCATGGTTCAGATCAGTGGTTTAAAATTTTTTTTTATTACTTATAGAGTGATTCTGGTGCTGGTACTTCTGAAATGTACACACGAATCCCCCAGGGATCTTAAAATATATAGTAGGTCTGGGATGGGGCCTGAAGTTGCACGTTTCTAACAACTTCCCAGGTGATGTCTACGCTGCTAGTTGGAGGACCACCCTTAGAGAGACAAAGTCTGGTAGGACCGGAGGTTACTTCCATAGGGCTGCTCTATCTATAGATGGCCCAGTCCTTCCTCAGAAGCCACTACTGAACATATAAGCAGAAACTAACTGCCATAGAGTCAGTTCTGACTCTGTGACCCAAGGACTCAAGTCTGACTCGGTGCATTTCCAGGATGGTAACTTTTATGGGAGTAGAATGCCTCCTCTTTCTCCTGAGGAGTGGTTGGTGGTTTTGAACTGCCAACCATGTGGATCATAGCCCAACATGCAACCACTATAACACCAGGGCTCCTTCAGCAACACTGCATAATGGAGTAAAATTGCTCCCTAGGATGTCTCAGGCTTAAATCTTTATAGAAGTCTTATCTTTCTACTGACTTTGCAGTTAGCAGCCTAACATGTAACCCAGTATGTCACCCAGGCGCCTTAAAGCACTTCAAGCACTTTCAACCCATAATAACCTTGTATATGGTTATTATGGCTTTGTACATTTTTATGGGAGCAGAGAGCCTCATCCCCTTACCCCCTGTGATGGTTCAATCATGTGATGAATTGGACCCTTGCCCTTGAGGTTAACAGTACAATGGTTACCAGAGAGCACCTGTTGGGCTCCTGGATATAGAAAAATTATTAAAGCATCATTTGGAAAAGTTTCAGAACAAAGCAAAACCAAAACTGAGCTTTTGTCTTCGTAGTGGACTCTCTTAGCCCTAAAGTTTTTCAAATGGCAAACATCTCATTTTAAAATCTCTGACTTAAACATTTGAGAGAACTTTCAAGATCTTCTCTGCTTTTTACACAAACTATAATTCTCAAATATTAAAGCCTCTCATGCTTAACCACACGTCAGCCTGTCTCGTTCCCTTCCATATATGTGCTTTGCTGGTCAGCTCCTTTACTGGGTCCACAGCACATCCGGCTTACCTCTCCCGTGGTCGTAATCATCGCCAGGAGCTGTCCAAGTCAGATTAATGAGCCTGCCCCCTTGGATATTTGCCCTCAGGTCGGTGATTTTACATGGCGGGAAAAGATCCGATGTAGGAGACGCTGGAACCCCAGAAGCCACAAATGAGCCCCCAGAGGATGTTCTGGTGAAACACACTTGTTTGCCTTGAAGATCATTCTTATTGCTTTCAGGTCTTGGTGGATTCCATTTAATTTTACCTGCATTAAACAAACAAACAAAAAAACCCCATTTCATGAAAAAAAAGAACTATGTTCTTATACCAATTTGTTGCATTCTTCTTACAAGTTTGCCTAAAATTAGATCTAGGGTTAAAACAAAGGGCTCAGTATTTGGAGTTTTCAGACTCTCATTTCAATAAGAGTAATAATCTAACATGGCACATTTTACAATCTATTCTCTCTTAAACTCTATTTCTTTAGCACTTAAAATTTTTCTTTTAAAAAAAGAGTGCTTGTTGTCCTCACTAGCCTGTTCTTGGGTAAAGAGGAAGCGGGTGCGCTGGCAGGTTGTGGGCCAGCATTCAGCACCAGCGGCTGGCGTGTGGAAAGCGCATCCGGGTCGAAGATGGCATGTGACTTCTCAATGTGGACGTGGCGCTATCGCTCTTAGCCAACTCGACCCGAGCCTTTCTAGCCTCGATTTCCTCATCTGTAAAATACGATTACAGGAGCATTAGTGGTGCCAATAGAAGTAAAACAGCCATAGAGCCATGTTAGACCCAGCCACTAAGCCTTTTCCTCCACCTCCCAAGCCGAAGAGAAAGGCAAATACGAATTAAATCAGGTGACGCGTGTGAGAGCATCCCGGAAGCATTGGTGTATTTTAAAGCGTTGCTCCCCGTGGTGACCTTTGCTCAAGGGGCAGCACATCCAGGAAAGCCCTCCCTGTACTGAACACACGCACAAGTCAGGCGGAAAGAGGGGAGTATGCTGCGGGAGCGGTGCTCCTTATTAGACACCAACATCAGAAACACAACCTGCCCGGGCCGAGGAGCTATTGATGGGACACAGGAAACCTCAGTCTTGCTCCCAGTCCCCACTCCAGTGCAGGGCAAGGGTTATAACAAAAATCGGTGTGTTGGTGTTGATTCCTTGCAGAAAAAATTTCCTACCTGCATATCAGGGGGCTTTAGAATGAAATCGATGTTGCTCAACTACCACTCCTAACTGTTCTGAAAAGGATCAAATTAGAAGGTTTTGGATAGAGTGGGATAAAAATGGAGAACAAAACTCAAAATCACAAAAGAGACCAGGCTGACTGGTTGTGAAGAAACAGGTGGGACCCCAGGATTATGACTTAGTCATCCTTTATGTCTGGACCTGAACCCACCCCTGTAGTGAAGTAATCAATCATTTAAGATCAAAGAGCAGGGTGTCCCCAATGGCAAAATTCAGCAGGTTAGCAAAGAAGGAATAGAAATAGGAAAGCCAGGGGGAAAGTGGACTAAGTGACGGAACACGGAATAGATTACAATGGATAAGCTGAAACAAAATGTGCATGGATTGTGGAACCTAACCCTGATGACCTGCTGTGGAAACCTTCACCTCGTTCACAATAACAATTTTTCTTAAAGTTCATGGAAAAATGGAATGAAAAGCAAGTGAAATATATTCATAAGCTTTTTGAAGTCTCGTTGTACATGTGAGTTCAGTGTGATGGCTAGAGTTATGCTCATCCACTATTCTATTTTCCTTGCTTTAAGTAGGAGAAACAAAAGGAGAAAGGGAGAGAGATGTCTGATAATGATACTGATATAGGTAAGCAAGTACTAAATTATTCTTTTTGACTCTATGGGCATACCAGTCATATCAGTGGACAGAGTTTCATTATAAAATGTTTTAAATTTTATTTTGAAGAATAACAAATATTACGTCTTTACTAGGAACAACTTATCAGATATGTATCTTGTTTATTCCTCATAACCATCCTATGAGGTAGTTACTGCTCTTTAATTTACAACTAAGGAGAAGCATAAAGAGAATACCAAAACAATTAAGTTGGTGGAAGACTGAGATTTGAAACCCGGCAGCCCCAAACGATGTACAATCTATTGGCTGTGCACTGTGGGTGATTTTGCTGTCTAGGGCATATTTAATGATGAATGGAGAGGATTCTGATGATCATGACCGGAGGGCTGTTATTGGCAGAGCGAATACAGACCAGGGATGCTGCTGAACTTTCTATCAGGCAAGGAAAATGCTTCCCCACCAGCAAAGAATGATCGGATTCAAAATGTCAATAGTGTCAAAGTTGAGCACTACTGATCTAATCCCTGCACTGTTCTAGCTCATAGGTTTAATGATTTCTTCTTGATCCCAAGCCTTTCATTCAAGCTGGGTCTTTTATTACAGATTACTTACCATTCTCAATCGAGCCAGGGATGTACCAGGCACCATTTGGCACCTGTCTGGCTGCATTCACTCCTCCCAGAGCCCGCACTTTTAAACTGTATCTTCCATTTGTATCATAAGCTGTGAAATACCTTGAGTAGACACCATCATTCTTAGTAGCATCAGCACCTTGAAAGGGAAATTGAAAATTGATAAATACTTCAAAGATTATTGGGTATTTGCATATTTCCAGTTCTCTTGTGGGTTAGCACTTTTCACAGCAAAGGGAAGAGAAACGCAGTATTATCTGTAAAAGGATTTGGAATCTGACTATGTTAAGAATGAAGAATACGATCTTTTACTTATTGATCTCTGTGCTTTGCATTTGTGGTTTCATACATATATGTTCAATTTTCCTGAAGAGTTGTTTTTCTCCATGAAATTAGAGATCCTGTCATGGGTCTCTGTCACAGGGAGCATAGTGCTAACAATAGTGTAGAGGTAGTGTGGTGAAGATAAAATAAAGACACCCAGAGAGAGAGAGAGAGAGAGAGATTGAGAATTGAGTACAAGATAACTACTAATTGGATATGGAATAACTTCTGGAAACCTCCCCAAAGCCTTTAGGTCTCAAAGACTTGAGCCTCTGATGCATTTTGGGTTTGGAAGAAGCAAATACAGAGTCTTCTATTTCAACAATTTGTATTTCCCTAGTTGCTTCTTGAAAAAGAAAGGCTTATTTTCCCTTTTATTTTTGGTGGTTACCTGCTCCATTGTCCAATAATTCCAAGCTGACTGTTTTCCCATTCGCTGATTCAATGAGGGCTGTGACAGTGGCTCTGAGGATGGGCCTGGCTCCTTGGCGAATATTTGCATAAACCACCATAGGGCTGGGGAATTTGCCTATGTCTTTGTTCATTTTGGAGGTTACTGTGATTGGAGGGATGGTAGCACTTGATGGGCGAGAAGTCACTGTCAACGTCAGGGTTTGTGAGCTTGCTTGCAGACTGTAATTCCAAACACCAACCTGACCAAAACAAATGGAGACATTTCCTGTCAGTAACTACCCTTCCATATGAGCCTGTAGAAAACGCCTGCCCCATCCAGTCACGTTTCCAGCCCATCTAAGAAAAGGTGGGCATTTTTATACTCTGACAGTCCAGAGACTTAGGTGTGGCTGGACTTACTACATGCTTCTTAATGTCAAGAAGACTCTAGTTATAAAAGTGAAGTCTGAAATCTGTGTCCTGACTACATCGTTGGTTCTCAAAAGTAGGATCACATTGATGGATTCTTGAGGTAGAAGAAGTCTTTCTTGACCTTAAAGCTTCAGGAAGCATTCTACAAGCATTCTGCATGATGACCGTGAAAGGTAAAGGTGTTCCCTTTTCTACCTGGACTGAATGTCACCAGTCTCTTTCTCTTTTTAAGTTTTTTGTTGTTTATTTATTTTTCTTTTAAAAAACCTTTTTATTGGCATAGAATTCACATATCAAAGAATTCAATAGCTCAGCCACATCAAGAAGAGTTGTACTGATCTCATTTCTCTTGTTACCCCATCATTTTAAATAATTTCTACTGGATGAGTATTTTTCCTTTTTCTCTTTGGTTGAATCTTATCATCTCAGCAACTAGCAGTAGTTAAAAAGCTCCAATAATCCCACAGAACTGTATTGTACCTTGTCAAGTTATAGGAAACCAAGAAAGCCGATTCCATACCTTCGCAGTGCCCGGGATTTGGAGGTAAGCCATTTTGGACTGGGAGTCCACCACAAAGCCATCTTGTTTCTTTCCACTGGGATCCCAGAGGAGGATGTGAGGAGGCTGTGTTGTCCAGGTGACAAGAAACAAAGTGTCCTTTCCCACGGTGCTGTCCACAATCACTGTGCCATTCATCCACTGGTTCGTTTTGAGGGCCAACCCTTTACTCTCGAGCTATTAAGAAAACAACTATTTACCCTGAGGAAAATACAGTTTCCATCACCTGATCTCTTTCGGCCTGCCCTGATCGCCACCTGCTCCCCTCAAAGGCTGCGTGATGCCTCACTCCCTGTCTTCCTCCCAACCTTTCATGAGTTGGTTCTGAATTTCATTTCCAGCCTTAACTTTTGGCATTTTCACTCATGCAGCCAAATCAGTAAAAGCGAGAAATTATTGTAAAAGCATCTTAAAATAAAGTTGTCTCTTTAAAAATAGTCCCCAAGTTTTAAAAGACAACTTGCTTTTCTTGGGCTTTAAGCCCAGCAGAGGTTTTCTGATTGCTATCTGGTGGAGAAACTGAGGCCCAAAGAGATAATCTGTTTTACCCAAGGTCTCCTAGTTCACAGCAGGCCCAGATGCTGGATTTACACGTAGCTGTTCACAATGCAAAGCATTTAAGTCTCTTACGTGAACATCTTGGCAAATAATAGGGGATTGAGGTAATGGAAAAATAGAGCAAGTATTCCCTGAACACATGTCCCAGAAAAATTGTAATGGAGATGATCTATTCTGTGGGTACTTGTTAACAGATGCTGGGAAATAATTCTTGGAGTCAGTATATATATTGGAGTCACTATATTTTATGCTGTTGATTTGTATGAAGAAGTCACTTAGTATTGTTGCCATTTAAGTAAACATGAATTTCCCTGAATTTGAAGGACAATGTCTAATCAGGTCCAAACCTTCTAATTTTATCCACTACTGGAAGAGTGTAGAACTTAAAGTTTCTAACCACGATGTTCTCTTTCTTAGCTTTGGTTATTTACAGTCATGACAAAACCGTAGAGTAAGAACTCAGACCTGGATGGAGCGCTGGGAGAGAGCGCCATTTCCTGACGAAAGGGCCCCAAACGCGTCTATGAGGCCGTTGTTCTGAGCTTGATCCGAAGCATACGTCTGCAAGCCTCCTACAATGCAAGTATATTAGCGGACGTTATTTTCTAGGAAGCAACAATCTGACAAAGTTTAGCTATCATGAAGGTTAAAATACAAAACAAAACCCAACTGCCATTGAGTAGCTTTTGACTCAGAGTTGTTTCCAAGATGAGCAATCCCTGAGGGAGAAGACAGTCTTGTCTTTCTTCCAGTCAGTGTTGGGTGGATTCCAATCATCCCCCTTGAGGTTAGCAACCCGACTCCCAGCCCACAGCATCACAGCGCCTCCTTAGTAAGAAAGCGGAATAGGAAAGAAACACTCCATTGCATTATTAAAGTACTGATAGATACAATTCAAATAGACCCTCGATTAGCCCAGAGAAGGCAAATATTCAAATAATAGCCACAGCAACATCTCCGCTGTCTGTCCATTTTGATTCTCTGCAAAGCAGCCATGAATATCTGGCAAGACAAACTTACTGTCATGAATGGCATGCGATTTCAGTGTATTCAGATAAGGTCAATGTGTGAAGCCTGCCCCCGAGCCTATTGATATTTCCTCATTTGAGACAGATGGGCTTTGGGGTTTCTCCCCAAATCAGAAGCAGCAGATTGGAAGATGCGTAGATAAGACCCGGGAAATAACAGCTGAGAAAGGGGCGGCTAGAGAAAGTAACAATGTACAGTCTAGATAAAATGAGGAAGCACCTGGCAGTCTGGGCCGTTTAGAACAGGCGGAATGCGGGGAAAGCATGTGCAGGCACCGCTGAACGATGCCAAGACCACCGGCGCTGAGGATCGCATCTAAATCACCCTGTCCTCTAACTGGGTGCCTGCGTCTCTCTCCAACTGCTTTGGGAGTCAAACGGCACTTTCACAGAGGTGGCCTGATTCATAACAGTAGCAAATGACAGTTATGAAGTATCAACGAATATAATTTTATGATTGGGGGGGTCACCGCCACATGAGGGACTGTCTGAAAGGGCAGCAGCTTGAGGAAGGCTGAGGACCACTGGACTGCTGGAACTGTTGGCTGCGCATGACCTACAGATGCATCCCTTTTCAGAGAAATTTCCTCATCTAGAGTGAGAGGACAAGTCCTCTCGGCCCCCCTCCTGACCCAATAGTCCACAACACGGGCTGATAGGACACAGGGCTCCACGAGGCCGGCCGCTGACTGAAGGTGGAAAGTCCGTGAATTTGAGATGCAATTCCCGATCAAATCTCCACCCACCCACTTCTCCGCCACGGAGTCACGGGTTTTCCATAGCCTCTGAGTCCACATCTGAACTCAGAGCCTTCCTCTGCCCTAGCCTGCCCTCTTCTTCCCCTTTCTATGAATCACATGCCCAAGACGCCCTCTCTGGAGCTCCGTGTGCAGCAAGAGGCCGGGCCAGGACACAGCAGTGCTGGGAGCAAACACTGCTGCCCTGTTAGCCGGCTCGAAGGTCGGTCTGTGTAATAACGGACATGCAATCTATTGTAACCACATGTTTGTAGATGAGAGCTAGAAGCACACTCAATGAATGCATGTAGGAGAAACTACCTTGTATTTTCCAATTTCAGGGTGAACTTCTGCCTCTTCCCACCTTCCTCACGCCCCTCTCTTTGTCAGCCCCACCCTAGGCTCCAGCACAGAGTCACGCTGATGGCCGCTGGCTAGGCTCCTTGGCCTTTCCTTGCTACTTCCCATTAAAGGCCCAGCTCACACGGTCAGGGAGGGGGAAGGGGAGAAGGGGGAACCCATCACAAGGTTGGATATGTAGCATCGTCGTCCCCCTCCCCGGCCCAAAAAGAGGACGAATGACAGAAATGTGGGTGAAAGGAGACAGTGAACAGTATAAGATACAAAATACTTATAACAATAGATAATTGATCAAGGATTCACGAGGGTGGGAGGGTGAGGAAGGGAGGGGAAAAAGAGGAGCTGATACGAGGGCTCAAGTAGAAAATGTTTTGGAAATGATGATGGCAACATATATACAACTATGTTTGATACAATTGATGTATGGAATGTTATAAGAACTGTAAGAGCCCCCAATAAAATGACTCAAAAATAAAATAAAATAAAGGCCCAGCTCAGATGTCACCCCCTTTACCCTTCTCCTCCCGCAGTAAAGCCAATGGCTCCCTTCCCTGTGGACCGTTGTATGTTCTCCCGCAAACATCACGCTTCGTAATAATACGAATATCTGTATTATTAAGTGAGTGCCTTGTCATGTCTCTGCCCCGCATCTCCTGACCGGCTGCCAGCTGGAGGTGGGTGGTTCCTGGTTAACTTATGAGATGCCCCCCCGCCCCCTCTCCGTCCTTATCAGTGAAGAGAGTCTGAGTCCCTCCTGCATTGCCTTGCTGGTCCCATCTTCTCCACGCTCACTCACTCCAAGAACCAACTCGGCCATAACGCTGATGGAGACCCTCCTGACCCTATAGGGTAGGGTAGGACACTATAGGTGATTTTTCTGTAGGTGAGTTTCTGAGACTGGTATTTTTTCCAGGAGTAGAAAGCCCCATCTTTCTCCCTTGGAGTGGCTGGTGGTTTCGAACTGCTCACCTTAGTTTATAGCCCAACATGTAACCACTACTGCCACCAGGGTTTCTAGAACCCAGGCCTTAAAAATGGGTAGAGTCAAGTCTGATGGCTATTTGGAGGTAAAGGCAGCTAGTTATCTGTCATAGTCTCTCAATCTGTCCCCAAACACACCCTTCCCCTTACTTCCAGCACCCGAAACTTCCAGTCCACGGGGAGAGACTGTACTTTGGGATTCAGCGGATCATCCTTCACCTGTCATTTTGGACAGTTCTTCTAGTTCTTTGGCTGCAGAGGGACCCAGGGCAACGGTGTGAATGATGGCGCCACTCTGTTTCACCTCGTTAAAGCACCCACTTATAGTGTTGTCTTCCCCATCGGTCAGCAGCACGATTTCAGATCCATCTGTTGGGTATTTCCTTCTGATCACCTAAGGACACAGTCAGGTGTGAGCTTTCAGACTAAGGGTGGCCAAAGTGTTTGAGGAAATGGCACTGACAGTGAACCAGAGGAGATAGCTAGTTCCAGGAAAAGTATAGCCTCTCTGTCTCCAAATGATACCATTTTAAATCAGCTGCACTCCTGGAACTTGACAGGGAATGGGCTTTCTTTTGGGAAGCCGATGCAGAGAGGGCTCTGCAACGTGGGATGCAGGGTAGTTCCAGGGCTGGATAATACCGAGGAAGCACCAGAGATAGTTTTTCTGGTCTTCTTTCTGAACCCTGTCCCTGTCAGGTGTTCAGAGCTTCCCGGGTGCCTTCATGAAACATCCTCACATAAAGGGAAAATATTAGACCTAAGACAGATTTTGCTTTGTGTGATATACACCAGTATGACCATCCTAGTTGTCTATGGCTAGCATTGGTTCTGATTGGTCAGTATTATGCCACATGCATTGCTAAGAGACTCAATATCTCTCTGGTTAAAGCAGCACATTTTTGTTCCTATTAATCCTCAGTTCCTGTTTATCCTGTGATACTTCCATCTGAGCTCACATAACAGCTTTTCTACATGGTGAAGAGAAAAGAGTCCTTCTGCCAATATTGGATATATTTATAACACTTCTACACACACACACACACACACAGAGAACTCAATAAAAGATTGAGTTCTACTGTAACTTCTATACACACACACACACACACACACACACACACGGAGAACTCAATAAAAGATTAGTAGTACCTGTTTAAGAAGAGAGAGCTGAATTCTACTCCTTCTAGCTTTCAAAAAAAGCCAAGCAAGACACAGCAGGGAGGGGAAAGAGCAGCCTGATGAGTATGTACAACCTCCTTTGTCTGGCCCAGAACCTCAGAAAGAGGACGTGTGCTATGCAGATTGAGAGGGAAGTAAGCAGAGGCGCTTCCTGCCCTATTCCCTGCTGGAGCTCTGAGAGGAGGCTGCCTCACAGATAGCCTTTGGTGACATGGCAAGAGAGCAGGACTGTGACCTCTGCAGTGTAAAGGAGTGCAAGAAATCGGTCAGTCCTGACCCTGGCCTTGGTCTGACCAGGCTGCAGGACTGGAGAGCCCAGAGGAACGTTCCCTTGCCCTTCCTTCCGTCACTGTCATGGTCACGGGGAACACCAGAAGTCCCCACAGGATGTTGGGGGAAACTGAGGGCAGCTGAGCTGAGACTCTTGCAATGGAGGCTGAAGGGTGGACAATCAGGCTGGGGACTCGGTGGAAAATGTGGTGGAGCTTTGGGCTCTCTTCCAAGAGCGAGAGTCCACTTTGGCTGAGTCACCCTAGCAGGACCACAGGGACTTGATCAAACCAAAAGAACAAGCCAGATTCTCGTGGCCACAACAAGGAGATCATGACAGACTGACGAGGTTCCTGCAGCAGAAACTAGCACGTGTCTCATGTGGGACCGAAGGCGTTTTATCTCATTAGCCTAAAGCACACACACCCCCCTCCCAACCCTACATGCAGAATTGATTGGAATTTTCTAAATTCATGGAGTACCTCTTGCACTCCGTCTGTCACCCCTTTGAGTGGAAAAGGCTGAGCCAAGAGTTCTCTCTCTACTATGAAACCCTCTGACGTGAGTCATCCACCCCAGGACTGCATGGCAGCTCTGTGAGGGGACCCATCAGGGAATCCATGGTCCGTTTCTTCCTCTGTTTGCTGCTCTCATCAGCGTTTGGGTGGGTGGCAGAGGCCACCGAGATGGACAAGACATCAGGAGAAGGGGTTTGCAGTGGGCTGTGCACGGAATAGAAACCACTTTTCGGGAACCAAGCTGTCATGTCCAGTCATAGGGCCACAGGGACAGACAGAATTTGAGGACATGGTTGAGTCCAGAGCAAATAGCAAACTGGGAACTCAATGTTCTTACGAGTTTTGCTTGGGAATCTGAAATTGCCCCACTGATGTGTGCTGTGCACACGAGCAGACAGGGGACAGTAGTGCCAAAGAGACAGCGAATGTTCTGAGACCTTAGACTAACTTCTTATTAGCCTCTTGTCTTTTTCATGAAGCTCTTTGATCATGTTCTATATGTTGGGGTGGTTAAACACAAGTAATTGTGATTGCATCAAATACGTAGATTTATTTAAGAAGTATTCATTGAGAACCTCTAATATAAAAGTTATTGAGAACCTCTAATATAAAAGATATTATTAACCTCTAATATAAAAGATATAAAAAGATAAGTCCTTATAACTAAAGAACTTTGCCTAAGTGAAAACCATGAAAAAATGTAGACCCATTATTAGAATTTAAGACAGAATAACCTAGAAATCTTAAGACATAGGAGGGGGAACTCAAAATTTCATGAAAAAAATTCCATGATTTTTTAAAGTCCATGTCCATGAACTTTTTGAAGCCCCCTCATAAATATGTGTATATATCTATGCATAGAGTCCTGGTGGGGCAAAGTTTAAGTGAACAGTTACTAATCAAAATGTTGGTGACTCAGCTCACCTAGCAGTTAGTTGGTGGAAAGAGTTGGTGATCTGTTCTCATAAGAATTACAGCCTACACAGCCTATGGGAGAAGTTCTACATGGACTTGCTGTGAGTGGACCTCTACCGGACGGAACTGAACAACAACATCTACATCCACGTCTATATTTATATTAAGAGCCACGGAGATTCTAGATGAGGAGCTTGCTCGGCAAAGGCATAAAATCTCTGAAGGGTAAGTATCCATTTACTAATCATAGGACACCCAGGACAGAATCGCTCCTATTTGAATTTGGTGCGCTAACCAAAAGAAGCAGACCCACTACCACGAAGCCGATTCATGATGGCCTAATGTAAAGTTTCTGGTACTTTCAATCTTTTTGGGTGTAGCTCACTTCATCTTTTCTCTGGAGGAGCTGTGATGGTTTGAACAACCAACCTGGCAGCTACAGCCTAAATCTCATCCCACATCGCCACGAAGGCTCATAAGAGCTATGGTATGGAAGACTTTAAATATTGTATGGGAGATTTCCGCCCCCTATTCCCCCCTTACTTTTTTTTAATAATGAGAAGACAGTGATCTCAAGTAGAGGGGTGACATGTTCAGATGAGCTCTTTGGAATCAATGCAACCACAGTCTATAGTTCCTGAGGCTTCAATAAACAACCCAGATGCTTGCTCAGAAGGATGTCTGACATGCCAATGTGTAGGATGACCAGTCATCCCTAAGTATGACCATAACTCATAGCTTCTCATTGCCATAAGAAGGCACTTTCTCCTATATAACCCTATGCACTTTTCCTTCATATGTACTCACTAGAGTTTGTGCGTATAGACTTATTCGTGCGATGACCACAAAGTCAGCAGTTCAAAACCACTAACCAATCTGTGGGAGAAAAACAAGGCTTCTACCGCTGTGAAGATTTACAGTCTCAGAAACCCAGAGGGTCACTTCTAACCTGTTTATAGGACCCCTGTGAATTGGAATCCACTTGATGGCAGTAAGGTTTTTTGTTTTTGTTTGGTAATTGCTGTTCCTCCTTCAATAACATGGTACGTTCTGTGACAGGAGAGACGTTGTGTATTTTACCCTCATGGTACCCTCATTACCCATCCTAGCATTTGGCATGTAAAGGCACACCACACAGATTTTGAATGCAGGCAGACATGCATACAGAAAAGCCTGAATGAGCAGATGCTTGAAACGACAAATTAGGCTAAAAAGCTTTGGAGACCTCTAACTCTTGCATCACATGCGCCATTTATCTGCCCTGGTGGGGTACATTTAAAAATAATACTGTTAAAGTTAAACACGAAACACGGAGGAAAAAGCCGAAAACGAACATCCCTCTGGAAAGAAGGCATCCAATCCCCATTGACAAGCCGGAGAGGGGAGCACGGCTTACGGTAAATGCCGAGCGAAGGCCGGTGCAGATGGAAGTGCCTCCTGCAGCCACAGTGGGTAAGCTGGCGATGAGAGCATCTCGGTCCGCGCTGCTCTGGATTTGCCGGAGCTCACTTGTTATGTGGGCAGCGCTGTCAAATGCCACCATCCCCACCCAGGACCCCTGCTCAACTGTCTGCAGCAGGAAAAGCTTGCCTGCTTGCTTCAGTCGGTTCAGGCGGTCACCGGTCTGATTGGAGACACAGAAGAAAAGCAGATGGGTTTTAGCTGGCCAGGCGTACCAACGGAACAGGCAAGAGGGGATTTGGTAGTAGTCCACTCAGTGTCTATAAAGGATCACAAGTTTACTTGATATTCTTCTCTGGGGGTATATTTCTCCTTGATAATTACCAGCATCTTTGTGTGGAATTTTAGGGCCTTTGTATAGATAGCAAAAGATAAGCCAAAACGGGCAATCGTTCGCATAGTGCTTAAGAGCGCCATTGTGATTATTAGATTGCAACACACGGAGAAGTTATGTGTTTCAGGGGAGAACTGCGTATGACTGTGATCTTTCAGAAGCAGATCACAAGGTTTGTCTGTCTTCTGATGTGCATCTGGGTGGCCCTGAACTGCCAACATTTCAGTTGGCAGCTCTGTACCCCCCCAGGGACTCCTAATAGCTCTAGAGACCTTTGTACAGGTATAGGGGCGTATTGCTAGTAAAACATTTTAAAAATCAGTTTCTGTAACATATGATGATATAATCATATTGAAAGATAATTTCATTGGCTTATGAAACAGTTGAATTGTGAATAAAGTGGAGGTGGATATTTTTGATGAACCGCTGTTGTAAATATTCTGGGATTGTGTTTATTCCCAGCCAGTTCCAACTTCTGGCCTATTGCACTGTAAGGTTATTGGAAGGAGTACCCAGAAGAATGAGCCTCATGGAACATACCGCCATGCTTCCAGACTTATCAAGTACTAGACACACAATTCTCTGTCCGATCTGCAGCAGGGAGAAGGTGGGCGTGGGCGGCTGCGTGTTCATAGGCGTGGTCTTCTGAAAGTCCTCCGAATCCCGGATCACTTCCCACACGCTTCGCAGATTGCACTTGTGGTTCTGCTGGTTGGGAGCTTCTTTGTTGTGATTTTTTTCTGTACAGAATTCAACCACCTGCAATTGTCCATAAAATGATAGCGGTGAATAGTAAATTGTGAATATTCCCTGCGAGTTTTGTGTGGCTGTTGCAATGAATGATCAAGTTCAGCTGAGGAGTAGAGTGCTGTGGGAGGGGCATTTAAGGAAGGATGGAGGATGGAGTCATGTTTGACCTCGACCTCACAGGAATTGGCCTTGGGCTGATTCTCCTCCTGCTCCCTTGGCGGGGGTTTTTTGTTTTGTTTTGTACTCACATATTGAAGTCCAGACTTGTTCACATAGCAAGGGAAATCGCTGAGATTTGAATTTTATTTACTGTGCATTCCAACTCTCTAATGCTCCATCTCAAACCTCCTTCCAAGTTCCCAAACTTGCCAGACGGTTTTATATCCCTCACACATTGTTCGTAAATTCCACCAGGAGATGAATGGAAAACAATGTTGCATACAGGCATACACTGGAATATGGCTATGCAATATTAAAACGTAACGAGGGATCTGGGTAACACCTCATATCATGGGTGGACCTTGAGGCCATTACATAGAGTGAGTATAGTCCACGAAAACAAATATTGCATGAGTCCACTACTCTAAAAAGTTTAGAAAAGGTTTACCCACAGAAAGAATCATTCTTTGAAGCTTACCAGGGATGGCAGGGGAAGGAAGGGTCAATCACTAACCAGAGGGTAAACCGGTGCTCACTTGGGAGAAAGAAAAGGCAATATACAATAACGGGGAGACCGGCACAAAGCGATTAGGGCAAAGAGAGACCCTGGGAGCAGCACAAGAGTTAAAAAAATAATAATAAAAAGTTTTCTCTTTTCCGCCCCATCCTCCAGAGAACTGTTATTCCAACCTTTGTGCCTACGGCGTACCCTGCAGAATCTTTAATAAAGTCCGTTTAACTTTATAGTGCATTTATTGACTGTAAATCCAACCATGGCAGAAACCTTTCCCATTCAATTTTGCTTCCTCAAAACTAGCCCAGTGTTTGACACATAATAAAAGTTCAATACACATTTTTAAAGTAACCTTGACCTGTCTTTGCCGTAGTTTTCTTATCTGTGCAATGACAATAATTATTAGGCAAAAATTAGATAACTACGCACATGGTCACAAAATGCTGGGTATTTTTCCTTTTTAAAATATATTTATAAAACAACAACAAACACCCAAACCCACTGCCATCGAGTTGATTCCCACTCAGAGTAACCAGAGCTCATGTGCAATTTTAGGGGATGTAGTAAAGAGTCACCAGTGCATCCCCCTCAGGGAGTTTACAGTCTGATTATTCAATCGAAGACCAGCGATATGCAAGGTTCCAGTTTTACTGCCCTTCTTCTTTTCGGGTCATTACTTTGGTCAGAGTTCCACCTTGTCTGCTTGGACTACTCAGGAAGGGAACCTGAAAAACCTTTGTGTAACCCTAAGCAAAAGTTCCCAGACTCGACTCTACGTAAAAGTCAACTCGATGAGTAATCCAAAATCGATCATCTTGGCCCTTCCTAGAAGTTTCTGAAGAGTTCTGAGGGTACACCGTGGCAATACCCGATGAAGGAATGGGACTAGTGAGGCAGGAACATCAACATTTAGAATTCACAGCCCACTGTTAGGGCTTATTCAAGGTCTTTCCATGCCTGGTCCAAGAGGGGAGGAGCCGTGGTGCTGTAGTGGTCACCTGTCAGCTGTTGTTCCAAAGTACGGGCAGCTCAGGGGAGGAAGACAGGCTTTCGGCTCCACAAATAGCTGCAGCCTCACAAACACCCCACCCCCACCCCCTCCCGCGCAGGGAGTCACTGAGTCAGCATTTATTTAATGCCAGTGGTTGTTTCTTTTATTTCAATCACAAAAGTTAAACGTAGTTTTATATAAAGAAACTAGAAGATAAGAGAGACCCCCAATAAGTCAATTAACTGATAGCTTTAATCTTATTTTGTGCAAATTTGCTGAGGTATGTATATTCAGCATTAACAAGGACAATTAAGCCAAACTCACTCTAGGACCAGTTGGTCATAAACAAAGCCATTAAAAGGCTATTTTAAAACTATTTAAAGTTATTATAACTATATATAATACACATTCATTCCCTAAGGACACAAGCACCCTGTAAAAACCTGAACATCTCAGCTAACAACCAAAAACAAGTAGAGTGGGCTGGAAAGAGCTCTTAGAAAGTTCAATTAAGGGCTACTGACCATGTCCTTATTTATAGTCTCATGAAAAGATCTAAATCTTGGGCAAATATCTTTTTAAAGAAGAAAAATTTTGCTGTGTGCCTTTAAGGATGTTCAAAAGAGTTCTGAGCACTTAGTCTAAAAACTAGTGGGAGGGAATGAAGGAGGTAAACTGTGGATTGAAGTGCTGGGTCGGAGGGAGAGAGAGGCAGGAGCTGTCATGGCTCTGTGGAGTTAGTCGTAGCATGCTGCGTGACTTGTTGGGCTGCTCATCTGAAGGCCAGCGATGTGAAACCATCAGGTGCGCTTTGGGGGTGAGGGTTGGGTGGGGTGGGGCAGAGATGAAGCTTCTTACTCCCATAAACATTTACAAGCTTAGAAACCCAGAGACAGTTCTACTCTGCCTTCCAGGGTTCCTCTGGGCCAGAATTGACTCCAGGGCGGTGAGTTTGCTTTTGAGTTCTGTAACCACGAGGTTGGGTGTTCAAGCCCACCCACAGCCCTGCTCCTGTAAAAGGCAGAATTGACTCAGTGGCAGTTGTTAGGTGTCACTGAGCTAGTTCTGACTCCTAGTGACCCGTATACAACAGAACTGAACGCTACGTAGACCGCGCAGTCCTGTGCCACGCTCACAATTGTTCGTACAGTTGACTGCATCTATGTAGTCACTGTGTTGATCATCTTATTATATATTCTCTATATATTTTCTATTACAGCTGGTCTCACAGAGAATCAGCTCCCCACTGTCGGTTTTTCCGAATTTTTGATCCTCTCTCAGAGCACTGGGCAACAATCCTACTAAATTCATAGACCAATAGCAGATAGAGGGTGAGGAGAGAGGATGGTACTTACAGATTTAATACTCTGGTCGAACATTATGGAAGCCTTCTCAACCTGCTGTTCGTTGGGTACAAACTCGCAGCCCTCTTCGTACTTCCCTGTCACTCTGTCCGGCCTACATGCTCTGGTGATACAGCTGCCGCCTTGACACTTCTTTATGACATTTTTACCCGTGATAGCTCCCGAACACCTGGAAACAAATTCAGGTGCATTGGACTGTTCAGCTCCTGACAAAGTGTGGGGCGAGGTCAGATGCTCAGGCATCCTCCCTGAGGGTGCCAGACTGCAGGGGCCTGCTTCCTGCTGTTCAAGGACAACAGACAGGCTCTTGTAGGAGTTCACACCCTACTGATAATGGTCTCTATCAGTTGAGCCAGCAACAGGTCAAGCGGGCACTGTGACATCCAAAGTTAAGCTGCCATCCTAAATCTAGGATCTGCTCATCTTGCCGCATGTATACCCCCAATCCCACCTCTTCCTATTGTGTGTATGTTCGACGCCCCCCCCCCATTACTGTGTAACCTATAGTGCAACCCCTTCCTGTGACGTATGACTTTACCTGTAATTAGTGGGCCTTGCACGCCCCCAAAGGTATATAGGCCTGGGCTAGCAATAGAGCCTCTCTCCCTCTCTCCAGCCTCTCGCTGGTTTCGCTCGCCTCTCCGGTCCTCTCTCCCTTGTTCCCTTTCCCGTCCTCCTTCCCTTCCCCCTCTCTCCATGCGGACCACCAAGCGGGGCTGAGGTGAGCAATGCTACCATGTCATGTGTCTGACTACATTATTGCAATATCTCTTCTATCGCTCATGCTCTCAATGACTTTAATATAATACTTATATATCTCAACCATACAATTGTGCATACCGAACCCGTGACTAGCAGTGGGGGGCTGGCTTCCCCTGACTTTATACCACAACAAAGGGCCTTGTGTATATTTTCAACTCATAATTTTAGAAACAAGTATATCCTTTTCAAGTAGCAAAATTATTAAGTTTTCATTAGAGTCATTTGTGTTTCCTGGAAAGTTCCCAAGGAGCTTCCAGAACTGAATCTGGGTTTGTTTCTCTGCAGCAGGCATGTTGAATCAGGTTCAAAAACCCTAACAAACAAACAACAAAAACAAACCAGACTCACTGCCATCAAGTTGATGCTGACTCATAGTGACCATATAGAACAGGGTCCACCTGCCCCTGTGGTTTTTCCAAGACTGTCATTTTACGGGAGTAGAAAGTCCCATCTTTCTCCTGAGGAGTAATGGGTGGTTTTGAACTCCTGTCCTTCCAGGGCATAGCCCAGCATGTAACCACTCCACCACCAGGGTTCCTTCCGCAAGCAGGTTTATGTGGCTGTCCAAGTTAATAGGCATCAGAGCCACCAGTCACTACTCACCCATGCTTCTCATTCCTGGAATACCAGGAGCCCTCTTTCATAATCCTCCACTTGTCCCTCCCAAGTTACTCTCGCCCCAACAGTCTGCATGGCCTAGAGAGTTCACAGCAATGCCATCAAGTCCATCCCAATGCCTAGGCGCTCTATGGACATTTTCCCCTAGGTTTTGTTTTGATAGGTTCTATTGCTATTGTAGGTGCCCTAGGGGCATAGTGGTGATGAGTTGGGCTACCATCTGCAAGGTCTGCAGTTCAAAACCACCAGCCGCTCTATGGGAGAAAGTCAGAGATTTCTACTCCCATTAAGAGTGACCGTCTCAGAAACCGGCAGGAACAGACCCATAGGGTCTCCATGAGGCAGCATCAGCTCAATGGCAGTGAGTTTGGTTTTTGGTTTGGGGGCTATTATACATGGGATGTTTTTGTCCCTACATCTTCTTTTCTCTATTATACTTTTAAAGTATATAACCAGTACATGAACATTCTAGAGAATTTGGAAAATAGCAAACAAACAAACATACAAGTACAAAGAATTTTTTAAAAATCATCCCACATTAGAAAAAAAAAATTGTTAGTGTGCTTAAGTATTTCCTGGACAGAAATCATTCCCATTCAATTTTGCTTCAGTCGACTATTTTTTCTTCCTTAGTAACCATAACCTTCACCTTACTCTTCTTATCTGTGACATGAGGATGATTAAGCAAAAATTAAATGACAATATATACAATACGGTCAATAAATTCAGCTGTTCCTTATTTTTAATGCTTGTCCTACTGTGCCTCGTATACATTGAGCTGGGTTGCAATAACTGGCCCATGAAAACATGGGGCCAAAGCAATGTCCAATTGTGCCATTTGTTACCTATGAACACTACACTGGGCCTAATTCCCGCGGCGAGCCATGTTTTATTTTAGTATTTGGTAAGTTCCACAATCTCTTCCAGCTCTACTCACATGGACAAATCCACACAGGTATGAGGAGGCCTCAACAAGTTTGTGGGGAAATGGAATGAAAAGATATTGGAATTTTTCCATGACATTTTTTGAAGCCCATTCCTATCATTCTGCCCTGTAGGCACTGAAGAAATCCAATTTACTCTATGTTGTTAATTCTGGCTTCAACCTGAAGTTTGGGTAGCCAGGAGACATTGAATATTTCTTATGGTTGGTACACTAAAATTAAAGAAGGTACTAGAAAAAATGAATTATAGATTTAAAAAATAAGATAGAAGCTTGGTATTTTTAAAAGGTAGCTCAATTCAAGAAATAATTGTTTGCAGTTTAAAATAGTTTACGAAAAGTTAAGTCAAAACATACATACATGACTGGTTTGTTTTTTCCATTGGATAAGTAGAACTTTTCATCGTTATTGTATTCATCAAATACTCCCCATCGGAAATGAGCCCATTCATGGACAAATGACCTTCCTGTGAGAAAATATTTCAAACACTCATTTATAATCCCCAAACCAAAAACCTTTGCTGTGACGTTGGCTCCTGCTCATAGCGACTCTGTGGTCCAGGGAAGAACTGCCCCACCGGCTCCTGAGATGGCCATCTTTAGAGAAGCCTCATCTTGCTCTCACAGAGCATCTGGTGGGTTCTAACCACCAACCTTGCTGTTAACAGCTAGCCACTGAACCAGGGAATCACCAGGGCTCCTGATGGTTACAATAGAAATAACATCACCTTCTCCATGGGAAAAAATAATCCTTCTGAACATATAGTATGCTTTGACGTCTTTATTTAAAAATTCAAGGCTTGATTTCCTTAGACATAAAAATCTAATATGTTAGTGTATGAAGGTCATTAAAAAAATATTGCTACAAAAAATAGAAATATTTGTTAAACAAAATACTAAATGTAAAGCTATTGTTGCTCAACTTATTCTCCATCTAGGTCTTTGCCCTTCTGAGGGTGTGGTTTCCATCCCTGTAACCCTTCACTGGAGAACTTTGCACTTTTTGACTTAAACCATGTCAAAGTAGCAGTTCTGGTATCTATGAAAGCCTCACGTCCTGTTCCTTCTCAATGCTTTTGAGTTTGCAGGGGGAAAAAAAGAAGTCTGAATAGGGCAAGATCAGGGCTGGAGGGTGGATGGGGTAATGTTTCTCAACAAAATTCTCATTGGACAATCCTTGCGACCCTGAAGGAATGAGCAGGTATATTGTCATATTGAAGAAGAAATCCTGGGCCCAACTTTCATGGCCTTCCTCTCACCAAGAGAGTTTTTAATCTTCTTAAGACTTCTTTATAACGAATCCTCATGAATGCCTTGTATCCTTCAGGAAATTCTATCAAGATTCCTTCTTTGGTATCCTAAAAAACAGCCCCCATAATCTTCTGAGCTGCCTCATTAAACTGGCTCAGCAAATTCCCTGGAAGCCACTGCTTTGATTGGACCATTTCTTTTTCAGGCGCACTAATGACTGAGTTGATTACATCACTGTTTGAACGTGACTTCTGCCATTCACTGATCACAGAGTCATGTTTGGACACATTATTTTTTTATCCCAAATCCAGGCATGAATGAACTGGAATCCAAGTGGCATTTTTTGGCCCTACCCTCATAAATGGGTATTTTAGCTAATCAGATATATTTTTTACAATTTTATTGACACTTCATCCAAATGTCATGCAATTCAATCATTCAATCATATCAAGAAGAGTTGTGCACTTGTCACCACAGTAAATCTAGAATATTTTCTTCTTCCTTGTGCACTCGTCAAATACTCAGGGAGCATTTAGTAAGTGCTAGAGAAAGACAACATAACTGCCGTGTCCTCACAGAGCTCCTGGCCTGTGGCTGACATGTGCACCAGTAACCACCAGGCTGACCAGGCTTGGCAAGATAACGGCACTGTTGCAGGTCAGTGCTGGCTGCGGTGGGAGCCAGGCATTCAGCGGGCGATCAGGGCAGCAGCATCCACAGGGCCCTCTCCTGCACAGCTCCTATCTAATCAAACTCAGCCCTTGCCCACTCCTCCTTTGCCTTTTTGTTTCCATCCATCACGGTCTGACCATTAGTCTCACCACGCACTGGAGTTGTCCCCATTTCACATCGGAATCACTGCCATAGTCCCCCAACAGCCCCCTGTTTCCAGGCCCCCCGGGGTGTTCAGGGGGAAAAGCAGCTCCTCAATATGACAGAATCTGGGGCCTGCTCCTCTCCGCAATCGTATTTCTTGCTGTTCTGCCCCACTCCAGATACTGATTCAATCTGAGTGTTCATAAGATTTGTAAAGTGAATGCACTTAAAAGTCGGAGCGCTCTATGCATCTTCACCCTCTGGTGGCTGCCACTTGAATTGCAAGCAGGAAGGTCAATTGACAGAGTTTCATTCAATTTTATAGCTACCCATTTATTTGACTGGGTAATTTTTGTGGCACGGTGATTTTGTGTTGGGCTGCTAACCACAAGGTCCACAGTTCAAAGCCGCCTGCCACGCTGCAGGAAAAAGACTTGGCTTTTTACTCTCAGAAGCAGTTACAGTCTTGAAGTTCAAAATGGTGGTGAGTGATTTATTTCACCAACTTCCTCATTAGATTATAAACTCCTTGAGACTAAGTGCTATGTATGTATTAATTATCTTTTATTTTCCATGCCTAGCAAAGTGGCTGGTGTTTATACAGCACCCAATTAAAAAGTATACATTTGGAAGATATAGAACTCGAGATAATTACCCAAAAAACCCTTCAAACTCATTGGCATCTAGTCAATTCTGATTCATAGCCGACCATAGAGGACAGAGTCCAACGGCCTCAGAGGGTTTCAAAGACTACTTTTTAGGGAGGAGTAGAAAGCCTTGTCCTTCTCCCCCAGAGCACCTGGTGATTTTGAACTGCTGACCTTAAGGTTAGCAGTCCATTCGGTAACCACTGCACAGCCATGGTTTATGGTGCTCAATAAAGCTTGCTAAGAAATGAGGAAAGTGAAAAGGTATCGGTGGCATTAACATCTCCCTCAGGAGAAAAGGAAACAAAACATATATTTTCTTATTTTTGTCATGTATAACTGAAGAAAATTTCTCAAAACAGCAAGGAGAATAGGCTTAAAATAACTGCTTTTGCTGGCAGACTAGTAGCCTGCTTTATATCTGGATTTGAAATGAGATGAAGTTTTAGCTTGTAGAATTGGGCTTGATGCTATCCTGCATTTTAACATAATCATCGTATCTTATCATTGACTATTGATACATAAATATTAAACTATTTTTGAAGTTATCCGATGCTATGAAAGAGTTTATTGGGTTTGTATGCCCTTGACAAGAATAATGCTATTGTTGATCCACTTTAAACATAAAATTACTAAATTATTAGTAGCACAGTCGACTATTCCACCTGTAACCATACCTTGTGGTCCATACTGAAGCAACTTTTTCCCTGCCAGGAAGTCAGGAGTGAAGTAAATCTTTTCACCCTTTTCTCCACAATTTCCTATCTGCTCAGTGTAGGGCGTATCTTCACCCGGGGGGTTAGGGACAGCAACTAGAACATCGGCCTGGAATTTAAGAATATGACAAATTTTCATTATATGAATTGACTGAATTCAAATAATTACACTTTCTAGAATATTTCTATTTTAAAAACTGGGGCTAGAAGAGAGAACTGAATTTGAAAAGGAATAACTTGATAATCTCACATTTTTGAACGTTTCAAGTTTTGGTCTCACATACTCCGGCTTTGTCTTCCATTTTTCCGGAATCAAAATGGCTGCAGTTTTGAAATAAAATCTTTTTTCTGTTGCTTCAAACAGGTATGGAGATGCCTGGGTTACCATGTCCTAGAAAGAGAAAGAAAAACAAAGAAACATACATCAGAAGCGTAATTGTGGCTCAAAATGAGCTAACTCGCCCATCATCTGCTTTTCATGTCTTCAAAGGCAACATATTTAACAAGACAGGAAGGGGAAATTTGGAAATAGCTCTATTAAAAACAATAGTTACCCTTTTGAGGGGCGCATTGACCACATAGTCTGCCTCATTGGTGGGATGGTTATGGCAGACACCACAACTTACTGTGGATATCAGGCAATTCTTGAACCTCTCCTGAGCCCATTACCTCATTTATAAAATGAAAAGTATTTTTTAAAACTCACTCATAAGATTACTGTGAGGATCAAACTAGCTCCTGATGTTGCTTTGAGGACATATGTGTCGATGCCACTTATACCAAACCAAGTAGACCACAGGAATTATTATACCATCTTGCATAGCAGCAGATAACTTTGAAATAATCTAATATAGCTATATCCTTACTCAATTGTAAGGTCAATATGATTGTAATGTGTAGTCCACATTATAATGTGAAGCACTTGGAGTCAAGTTCACGTGTCCATTTTGAGTCCATTCTGACTCATGGTACCCTGAGTGTTTCAAAGTAGGGTGTCCCTATGTAGGGTTTGCAGTGGCTGTGATCTTTAGGAAATAAATCACTAAGCCAAGAAACCCTGGTGGCGTAGCAGTTACATGCCAGGCTGCTAACTGGAGGGCCAGCAGTTCAAAAGGCCCAACAGACTATCTACTCCAGTGGAGCTAGAGTCTCAGCAACTCACAGGGCCACTTCTACCCTGTCCTATAGGGTCGCTATTGGCAGGGACTCGATGGCAATGAGTTTGAGAGGTCAACTTGGCCACCTTTCAGTTAGTCCATCCACTGAGCATATGTTGTTCTTGTTGGTTGCCCTCTTGTTGTCCTGACTCACAGCAAGTTAGCATGTACCATGAGTCATTGGGTTCATCCAGACTTATAACAACCCTGGAAAGGGTTGCCCAGGCTTGCTTTGGGAGTACCTCTGGGTGGGAAAGTTTGGGACTATTTTGAGAGTGGACTTAAGAGGCTTCTGCCCTTACAAGGACACATGACGACTACCTCATCCACAAAAAGAAAGTTGTTGGAATAATGATTGCAGGGTGGCTAGCAGGCATGTCAAAGTCCCACAGCTCTGCAAATTTGGAAGATCAAATGGGAAGGAACACACTGTTTCTCCGTCACCCATCCAGGGACTCTGAACATGCGATTGCCCCTAAATTTCAAGTATCGTATTAAAGACAGGGGAACGGGGGAAAACCGTGTATCTCACATCCAACTCATTTATGATTCATACCTGAAAGCCAATTTAATAATCGTGGGGGTAAATACATTTCTCATAGGGAAAGCCTGGAAAACAATGAGGTTAATGCCTTTGAAATCTGTAAAGAGTCCTAGGAATACTTTTACATCAACATTATCGTCAGAAGCAAGCATCAATGGTCTCTGTCTGATAGATTCCTGAACCCCACTGACTTGGGAGCCAACAAAAGGAACACAGGAATCACCTCTTTATCCCACTTTGCCTGTCTTTTCTCTAAGGGATGGTGTCATTTCTGATGATACTCTTTCCAAAGTACAGAGACCATCAAAATCCACCCAAAGTGTCCGATTATTTGAGAGACGGATCAGATTTCCCTTTGAGCAATGACAGCTCTGTCTGACAGTCTGTGTTTGGATTAACAGCTAAACTCCTCAGCCCCGCATCATTCTTTTCAATTCTCCCTTCCCAAACTGCCTCGTGGTGGCTCTGTCTCCAAACTGGACCGTTCTTCATTTACCCTGCTTAGAGCAAGGAACCGACACGTGTCCAGGCTTACACTCAGGAACATTGGCCGGAAACAAGCCACAGTTCTGTTTGTTTTTGATTTGAGAGAATTTTAGACTTACAGAGGACTTGTGCATAGAGTTTCCCCCTCCACTTCCCCCAGTCTCCTCCAGGTTCTTGCATTTTAATATTGAACCTTCACAGCATCCTATGAGGAAGGTACTGCTATGGTTCTCCTCTCATACACACGGCAAAATCGTGGTCCTGGATATGTGACAATCAGATTTCAGGGCCGTCTTTTTGTAAAGTATTTCTCTCTTATGTTTTGCTGTTTGTTGAAAGATCTGTCCACAGGTATTCTGTTCTTGAAAATAAGCTCTCTAATCATCTAATATTTATAGACAATAACCTCTCTAATCATCTCACATTTATAGGACAGGAAGAGTGTTCTTCCCAAGCTTCCTCGTTCCCATGGAACCAGGAGCAAGTGCGATGCTGCTGCTCAGGAGCTGGGAGGGGGCTCCCTTGCCTGGAGGGTGATACAAGGCAGAGATTCTTCCCATGAGAAGGGTCAAAGTCGTTAAGTCAGAACTTTGTATGTTGGGGATCCTGTATTAGGATCACAGAGAGGGCTCTTTAAATATAAGAATAAAGGGAGGATCCTACCAAGGATGTGCCAATTGTAAAATCAGACACAGGAATTACCGTCTGTGAATCTCACAAATAACTGCACACTATATCTAGCTCTTCCCTAGTGAAGGACAAAGTAATTTTCAATGAAATAACCCATAGGCAATAAACACAAGAGGGACCCTGGTTTCACTGTGAGTTAGGCGTTGATCTGCTAACTGCAAGGTGGGTAGTCCACAATGACTCATGCTGTCTCTATCACAAAATGATGCCCAGTTAACTTACCTTTATGTGTTGAATGAGGGTTTCATCTTCTGGCACATTGGGGTCAATGGCAATGACAATACCTTCATAGCCATTATTATTCAACTGAATTAGCGAGTTGCTCAGGACCCCTACTAGAAGATCAAGGGCCAAGATGAAGAGAGAAGCCTTAAACGAGCCCATTGCTGCACATCTCCCTTTGAGTTCTCTCTTGGAAAATGTTGGTCTTGGAGCTGTCCTTCTTTAGCCCCATGTATATATATATATATATATAAACATAAAGGTGCTTGTATTTCGATTGTCAGAGTTATCAGCTGTGGCTTATCAAGGGACTTTAACCCCTTGGCCCAAACTTGTTTCACTATAGCATTTTCTTTCAGTCTAAGGAACATTAACTTAGACTCAAACTTTGTGTACTTTACAATTTTTGTAAAGCATTGGTCTCACCTTTAGCTATGCCAGATGTTGGGAATGAGGGTGGAGAAGCCTACACCCAGCTCTTCTGAAAGGTACACCATTGATAAGCAGCTTGATTATTGAAAGAACTGTTTACTTCTTACAAATGTTTGCCCAACAAAGGCCATTGGCCCACCCAACCTTATCCCCCAACATCTGCCTGCCCAGTGGAGGACTGTTTCCCCCATCCCAATAAGCACTCATTAAAGGTAACCCATCTGTCCAGTTACCCCCTCAGGGTGATCTTTACTTTCATCTCTTTCTAACTTTGACATAAATCCCACCACCTTGTGGCATTGTCCTTTGAGGATTCAGTTATAATAAAAATATTGGCAAGCAATATAGATATTATGAATATTCTACCGTGGACAGAAAAGATAAAATGCAATCTCATTCTCAAAGCAAACTCTCTCAATTTTCTTATGCAGATTTTGGATTCCTCTATTCTATGGCTCTTACCAGTTAGTAAAATCAAATTAGCATCATTAAATTATCGTTCCCACACTAAATGTTACTCATAGTATGGGTTTGAGTTGTGAGTGCTCTAGTTTGTACAGCTTCATAAAAACTCAAATTCACCCACCACATTCTTGACTTCAAATTACTTGATACATTTTCATTCCAACACTTCATTTTGTTTTCATACATAAACATCAATTTATTTTGTCTGTCCATTTTTTTCTAATATTGAGTTTAAAAAATTAAATTAGCACTTATGAATAATATTATTTTAAACTATCAAAAAAAAGAGTCAAAATGGGCACTAATAAAGTGACTTTCTACATAACCCCAAATATGCCTTTATATATAAAAGTATGTGTACATTCAGCATACATACAATACAACATTTTTGAGAATCTAAATTATTTCAAATTTCTACCTATATATGAATAGATCATGTCTTTCCCTGACTTTCTTGAAAAATCAGGGTCTAAGGCAAGGCCCCAAACTATAGTCTTCTCTATGGTTTACACCTGTGTGTGAATAAAATAGAAATTCTCTAATTTGGGCTCACAGCAACATCATGACATATAAGTTGTCAATGATTTTACTCTCCTTGGATCAATAATCAGCATCTATGGAAGAAGCAAGTAAGCAATCAAATGACATATTGCGTTGGAGAGATCTGTACAAATGGCCTTTTAAAAATCTTAAAAAGCAAAGATGTTACTTTGATGATTAAGGTGCACCTGACCCAAGTTATGGGAGTTTTAATCCCATAATCTGCATGTAAAAACTGGGCAATGAAAGCAAAAAACTGAAAAATTGTGTGGTGACGGAAAAGGACGGAATAGGCCATGCACTCTCGGAAGAAGGAACAAACCAACCTTAACAGAAAGACAACCAGAAAACTCCTCAAAAGTGAAGTGATGAGGTTGCATCTGACTTCCTTTAGACCCAGCATCCAGAAGGCTCACTCACTGGAGAGCGGTCTTACACCTGGTAGGAGAGAGGCTTGTTAACAAGGAGGAGGACCCTCCGACAAGAACTGACATGCGGTTGCTACACGGGGCTCCTCCATAGCAATGGCTATGGAGAGAGCTCAGGACTGCCCAACGTTTTGTTCTGGTATATGTGTTCCTATGAACCAGAGCCCACCAGCGCCCCTTACCAACAACATCAGCAACGGCAAACTTATGTGCTAGCAGTTTATTTTGTGGTTTAATCATCTGACAGCAATGAAAAGGGAGGAATGAGAAAAATGGGAAAACACATCAGGGACACAGCTGGAGCAGGGGGTGAAAAACTAAGCGTTACTATGCTGTCCACTGCCACTCCATGCAGATAGCCAGCAGCTCACCTTGAAGATGTGCCTGCCTTGCCATGCATGGGGGTCTCTTGGCATGTTGAACAAAGAAACCATAGCTTAGAACAGTTCATTAGAAATAAGAAGGGAGAATTTTGGGCTTCCTCTCATCCATTATTTCCCCACCATCAATCAATTCCTAGAGTCCTGGTGGAACAGTGATTCAAGTGCTCAGCTACTGACTGAAACCAAGCATTGCTCTGTAGGAGAAAGATGTGCCAGTCCACTTCTGTAAGGATTTACATCATTGGAAGCCCTGTAGGGCGATTCTGCTCTGTCCTATGTGATGGAATTGACTAAAAGGCAACGGGTTTGATTTTTCTGGATCAATTCTGGTCTTCTTGGATGTGTTCTCTAGGCCCTCAGAAACACCTTGGAAAGAGATATCCCATACCTTTTAGTGTGGGAAATACCAGGGATTCTGAGTGGTACCTAATTGGCCTCAGGCAGCAAAACTTCATGGACTTGCAATGAATGGTAGTCACTGAGGTTGAGCAAAGGGGCCCTGGTGACACAGTGATCAAGCACTTGATTGTGAAGTGCAAGTTTGGTGGAATCCACTAGCCATTTCCAGGAAGATGTGCAGTCCACTTCTGTAATGATTATAGCCTTGTAAACCCTCTGGGCTAGCTGTGCTCTAGCCTGGAGGGTCGCTATGAGTGAAATCAACCCACCAGCAGCACAGTTTTAGAGGTAGACTCTAGAGGGAGAGTCTAGGTAGAGGTAGTGATCAGGAAACAATTAAGACCAATAAATTCTGAGGCGCTTCAATAAGCTGGATCCCATGCAGTTAACTTTTTAAGCTGCTCGGATCCACTCATGTCCTTTATCATATTGTTGTTAGGTGCCAGTGATCCTGTGTATAACAGAACATAACACCACCTGCTCCTGCGTCATCCTTACAATTGCTTTGACGTAAAGCCCATTGCTGCAGCCACTCAACTCATCTGGGCCTTCCTTTTTTCCCCGCTGCCTCTCCACTTTACCAAGCATGATGTCTTTCTCCAGGGACTGATAAGTCCTGCCAACATGTCCAAAGCACATGAGACGTGGTCTTGTCATCCTTTATCATATCCAGCTTCAATATTATGATGTGGGGTTCACATCTTGGTGTGTCTGTGAATGAAAATTGTCTCATTTTTTTCCCCCTTGAGTGAAGGTGCAAGTCCAATCTGTCACAAACCTCCACTGAAGTGATCATCAATTTCATTCTCAGAAAATACTTAAGACAAGAGAGCTACTGAAGTAAGTTTCAATGGCCACTGCTAAGCTGGTTGAAGGCTAGCATAGGTGTCACTTCCCTTCCCGAGTCTAGATTTTTTTTCCTCATGGTACTCAACATTTGGTGTAATCTGTATTGCTGTCTGTTGAGGTAATCTAATCGCGTATATCTGATGGATCTGAGCCTCTATTTCTCCTGCCCCCATTGGTCTGTGGCTCCATCAATTGCTGATGACACGCTGACTTGATGTGATGGATGGACCAGCTTGCATCTCTTCTCAGAATCCTGTGACCTTCCTGCTGAGTGGGCCTTGGCTTACTTTCTCAGCAGAAAGTCCTGCCTGCTGCTGCAGTTGTCTCATCCCCTAACGCCATTCACTTGTCTCAGTTTTCCCTAGTATGAACATTTTAGTGTGGTCTAATTTAGTATGGTCCCCCATTGAGATGACTCTAGAGGGAAATCCATGGTCCTTGGTTCCAAATCTCTATCTTGAAGGGGTGGACTCCAAAGTAGCTTTGATACAGAGGCAGCACCACAGAACCTAGGATCTAGCTTTGTCAAAAACAGTCTTGATGGGTCAGATAATACAAACCAGAGGTGTAGGGAGTTGATGCTCTGTGTTAGACCAGGTTGACTAGAGGAACAAATTCATTGTCACACATATGTCAATGTGTATGAGAGAGCTTTATTTCAAAGAGCAATTGTATGTTGAGAAAACATTCCAGTCCAGTCCAGATCAAGTCCATAATAAGTCCTACATTAGCCCATATATACTAGTCCATAAATTCCTCTTTGACTCACGCAGCACACACAGTGCTACCAAGTGTGGGAAGATCACAGGCCAGTGGGTGGAAAGCCCTGTGGATCCAATGACGGTTGATGCATCTCCAGGGCTCTGGTAGCCATCAGCATGACTCCATGTGGCTCTTCAACAAGAAGGTGAAACGGAGAGAGAGTGGCCCACCTCCTCTGATGGCAGAATCAAGAGACAGGAAATTCCCAGAATCCTGATGAGAAGGGCACGCCCACAAGGAGGGATCATCGGACTGTGGCCTGCTTGACAGGCTAGACTCCACCCCTTCATTCTTTTATCAAGTTGACATGAAATTGTGTAACTACCACACGCCCCATAGGACAAACTTTCACCAGAGGCATAGATTATTTCCAGCATCTCAGCAGTTTCTTTTGTGTCTCCTCCCAGCCAATATTCCACCCCCAAAGTTAATATTCTGACCTTTGTTGCCACATAATTTTTCCTGCTTTTTATTTATTCATTTTTGAGCTTCAAGTAAAGAGAAGTAAATAATATGCATTCTTTTGTATCTGTCTATTTTCATACAACATTTTCTCCAGGAGATTTAGCCATGATTTTGCATGTGGCAGTGCTATGTTCTTTTTCCATTATTGGAAGAATAATTAACAAAGAATTTTTCAAATTGTAAGAATGTACAATTTATATATCCATATACCTTCTAATGGACATTTTGATTATTCACAGTTTGGGACTATTATCAATAAAGTAATCATATAAACATTGACTTCACTTGGGTACAAGAATGGAGGAGCTGGGCCATGAGGCATACATTTAATAGCTTTACTGTATACAATTTCCTTTAAAAAAATTTACTTTTGCTGCTGTTGCTGAGAACATATACAACAGAGAGAAGCCAGTTCAACAATTTCTAGACATATAGTTCA